TAATGTAATAATGAACAACAGCTTGTCTGTACTTCTAGATAATATCCAGTTGGATGCAAAGCAAAACTTGTGCAGCTTCTTACACCCCAGGCAGGGACAGATGGACAAGAAATGGCAGTGAGTGTTTAACTGGCCTCATGCCCAGTCTTTAATGTAAAGTCCCTGAAAAGACTCTTAGTTCTGGGTAACAAAACACTGGCAAGTCTGCCTGTGATTCTTTGTGATATTCATGACACCGAAACCACTTCCCATACAGGTAAATTCCATCTCAGACGAAGAGATACCTTGTGAGAAGGGACCACAGAATAAAAACTGAAAGGCAGTAAACTTCATGGTAAGAGATAAAAAGAAAACGTGAAAATAATACTGTATATACAATGTAATACATGTACACCCATCCCTGAACAGCTTGTCCAACACAAAATATCATGCATGAAGTAAGAGAAGGAGGATTATCAACTCAATAATTTACTTGCAAGTGCTGGTACCAGTAATCTCCCTGGAGCCAGACTGACTTCTGCATCGGCTTTTCACAACAATAATGTGGTCAGCTGGGAAAGGAATGTGGAGCCAGACACAGCCTGGATCCTTCTGTTGTTCCCAAGATGGAGAAATCACCTTGATGGCAACAGCTTTTTATTGTGGAATGAGGGCTGCTTCAGGTTAAATGGTGAAGAGAGTGGGGACAGCAAAGAGGAAAGATGAACAATAAGTTCAGAAGAAGCAAATAAATAGGAACAGAAACAGTGGGGTCACTGAGGGACAAGAACATGAAAAGATGGTGACAGATGAAGTTGATAGTCCCTCTTTTTTATTTTCTATTGTTAGAAAAAAAACATAGAAAAGCAACCTTATCCTGGTGCATGAGAAGAGGTGAAGATTTCTCAGTCAAGGAGCAGGTCTGTTTGAATTGCTGCAGGCTGAGCAGAATGACAAATGAAAATGGAGACAAAAATGGGGGCCTTAGGGGAAATTTGTCCTAGCTCAGTACAGACAGGGATAGTACCAGAGTCACACAGACTTATTTATCATCCAAGGAAAAAAGACAAGAGAAACCAGAGAAAAATAATGGACTTACTTACACTTTATTTCTGAGAGAAATACTTTAAATACAAATAGGCAGAAACAAAGTTCTTTAATAATACATGTTGGTGCCTTGTGCTTGTGCCTACTCTAAAAAGAAAGGAATGCAATGTGCGTGAAAGTGTAATATTGGCAGTTTTCAAGACAAGTAAGCCTGTTCTATTCCTAGTGACAGAAGAGCACAACTAATAGAAGTCAAATATGGATGATTTTATCATTTCCGTCTCTTACTGTTAAATAACAAATCTCTTTATCTGTTTGTCAACCACATTATTATTAAAACATTTAAAATATATTTTTAAATCTATGAAATAGCAATTTTCTTTCTACTACTAATTAACAGGAAACCTTTGTGAGTTATTTCTGTGATTTCTTGCTTGATATGGAAGAACATGTACACACATTCTCTGCCCTTTGCACTGTGCAACGGTGTAGAGGGGACGAGTCTCCTTTTAACTGTAACAGAGGACAACTTGTAATGTATTCCCCTCTGAACCACATGACAAAGGACCAAAATAGTCACCACAACAACTCACAAAATAGCATTTTATCTTCTCTTATTGCAGGATTTCCATAGATGGAGGGCTTTATGCTTTGTAGAGTAGTGCTGTAATAGCCCCAAGAGTCCCACCAGTTTCATTTCTTACCACGAGGACCTACCTACAGAATAAAAAGAGTTTATTTAGTTCTTTCCTTGCAGTACTCAATGGGTGTCACTCAGGTCGAAGAGTAAGATGGGGCCACTTGTCCATTAAGAAGTGGAATGAAACCACTAATTCATTTTATGTAGAGTACAAACCAGCTGCCAGACAGTAATAATTTTCAGTCAGAGCTGACCTGGGGTAGATTTAACAAGTGACCTAGAAATGAAAAGCTGGGTAGGCAACTGCAAATCCCCTGAGTTGTTTGAAAAGGCATGCCTCTAAAAGATTTAGAAATGTATAATTTAGTAAGGGACAGACAGTGTGTTTTAATTAATATGCTTGTATTTTTCTAGGTTGGATTTTCTTTCCCAGTTTACTTGATACTGTAATTTATGTCAGTAAAGAATGGGTGTAAAATATTATTTCATAAGAATAGTTACATTTTGTATGAAATTACATGTAATGAAATTAACCCATGAACAGAAAAGTAATACAAAATCAAATTCCTGCAGGGTAGATTTGCATTTATGAAAATGAATGACAATGCTGTGAGTAAATGCAGTGCATTTTGAAATCACTAAAATATTTCTTTGGTTGTCCCTGTCAGGGGAGGTATCCAGGAATGAGTAATGAGACTCTTTAGGGCAGGGGCCTTGGCAAAAAAAGCTGACACTGTTAGTTCTGAACAAACATGAATAACAGGGGGGAAAATTATAAAATAATGAATGGCCTAGAGAAAACAGAGGAGGAGCTTATTGTCTTCTAATTTTAAAAGACTAAAATAAGGGGACAGTCAATGAACTTAATATAGATGTGACCTATTGCTCTTTGGCTGAGGAAGTCACACAGCTGGGATGCCTGAGAGCCAGTGGCAGAGGGAGGTCACTGCCCTGGCGTGTTGGGGGAACTGCTGTGATTTTCAGATTGCTGAACCTGAAAGTGGAAAGGGATTCCAGAAAGGATGAGATGTTTATTAAAATATTGTTTATATCCAGAGCTATTTCAATCCGTAGTACCTGCTCCTACAGTAAAGTTTCAGGCAGAAAAAGGATAGATGACTATTCACTTTTTTTTTTCCTGGTCAATCTTGTGACATTTTAGTTCCCTAAGTTGGTTCATTGTGGAATTTGAGCCCATGAAAGGGAAATGGTGGGATTATATTGTTAGGATCAAGATTGGCATTAGTGGGGCAAGTCATTAGATCTTCTTACCACTAATGTGAAAATGCATTTTGAGAGATCCATGGAAAATATAATGGCTGGCATGAGGGCAAAATCAAAACATTTATCAGCTGTGGGGGCATTGGGGGTGTGGTTGAATTTTCTCTGCCTGGCCACTGACAAATGAAGGTAATATGTGCTAGGGCCTAATGCCGTGTAGAAATTCCCATATTTCTACTGACAAAAACCACAGCATTTTAATTTACCTAGAGAGAAGTTACACTCCAGTCCTTGCTACATAGAACTTGTCAGCTGAGGCTCCAGGGTTTTGGTAATGGCTCTACTTTTCATGTGCTGGATGACTCCAGGCAAACCATTTCCCTGCCACTGCAGCAGCTTAATGCTTTTTGAAAAGAAGATAACACATTGTGTACTGGACTCCAAGAAAACCCTGAATACTAGATGGTCTCATAGCATGTTGGCTGGGTTAGGAAACATACATGATAAGTTAATGTTTCTTTAATTAGTTAGTCTGTTGTGTTTTTTTAGGAGGAAGAAAACCCAAAAGCAACCAAAAAAATCAATTAAATTTGGGTTTGATCTGTTGGTAAAGGTGACCTCACATTATCTTACATTCACTGTGGCAATACTGTGCCTAAGAAGAGGGAACACTACAAGTGTGGCCTGCCTGTCACAGTCACAAAATCACCTTACAGCACCTCTGTTTACTACAAGGCATTACTCCCCAAAGGCTGACCATGCACACCTTTCACCTTTGCTAAGTCGAGGTGATCTGTTGTCTTATTCTATGTCTGTCATGGTACTATTTTACTCATTTTCTGAAACTGCAAGATTTATAAAATATTTTTCTTTTGCTTCCAGACAGCAAGAAACTTTGAGCTATATTTTGGGCTGTTTGATGGAAATATTGAGCTTTACAGTTTTCCCCATAGATGGTGAGGTTGCTGACCTCTGTTGAAAGAGTCTGTGGGATAGATGCTGAGCCATTTTTGTCTTCTGCACACCTAAATTTTGCTCTTGATGTTGACAGTTTCATAGTTCCAGTAGGATAGAGCTGTCATCAAGGGAAGTTGAGATCACACAGCATGAAATGGTCCCTCATTTAAACGACACTGAAGGAGAGCTTGGACATGGAGAACAAATAATTTAACCTAACTGAATGTCCTGATGAGAGGAATGGGGAGGACTGAACATTTAGATGATGATAGACTTCCAGTGGTTTGCACTGGTTTAAAGGTTTAGTGAAATATCCTTCTAAACATTGATTATACATGTAGACACAGAAAATTGGACTCCTCAGACATTCATACTCTATGAATATCTATAGTAAATTTCCAAAGAATTGATGAAGAACAGTTTTTTTTCTGATCAAGGCAGAGAAGCTTTCATCAACTAGGACAAACCTCACATTTCACTTCTATTATGGTTTTATCTCTGCAATCCAAATAGAAATGCCTTTATCTGAGGTTAGAACAAATGTTTGCCTGGAACGAGTTATCAAGCCAGGAGGCAAATAAATTTGTGGCTTAGGCAGAAATTCCCTATTTTCTAGTATACATCCAAACTGAATGCCTTCACACTTAATAGTGCCCATCTATGCTTGTCTGCAAAGGGAGTTGCTTATCTGCTGGTTAGGGAAATGTTCTGAGGTTTCTCATGAAAAAGAAACATGGGTTTTTCCTCAAAAATATAAATTAATTAAAAAATAATCAGGACCAACACACAGAGCATAGCTAACATGAAAAACAAAGAATTCAGAATACAATTCAATGAACTGGACCCTGGGTTAGCATCTTTTCTCTTAAACCTTGAAAATTAAAAAAAAACATCAAAACAACGACTTCTGATAACCCCCTCAAATAAGGCTTAAATTCCTGCAGTGATTTCTTTGCTGAAGTAGCTGCTTTGTAACAATGAGCCCTATACAAAGGCTCCCTGCGGCAGGAAGATAGGCAGGATGCAGGCTTGAAACTTTGCTGGCCCAGTCAAGACTTTTTATAGCCTTGGGCTATACAGCACCAGTTAATTTGGGGAACTGTTTAACTGACTTTTAGTTATACAATGTTCCTCTCTCCGTGTTTAACTGAAAGCTCTTGGTTACACCAGTTGGCATCAGTGTAGAGCTTCTGAAGTAACTAGAAAGCTGAAATTAGTGAATTTGTGTTGCAGGTACAAGAGTGGGTGGATAGAATGAAAACAAAGAAGTGAAATTGACTTTTTGAGTAATTTTCCTTTTGCTACAGTTGGTATGATTTCTTTGTAAAGCAATGGCCACTGCCACTGACTACTGAACTGCAGCTCTACAATAAAACCCCGTTCCTCCCTTTGTTCCTCTACCTCAGCTCTCCACCCTCAAAAATCCCCTCCTGAACTTCATTGTGAAAGCAGAAGGAGCTACACACATTCTGAACATCCAGTAATTACTAAATACATCTCTATTGTCAAATTAATTTTTGTATAGAACTGAGACCCACTGAAGTTTTCTTTTGTTTGTGATGCTCCCATGTTTGTATCTCTCAGAGGTCTGTAAGAATGTGATAAATTATAATTTATAAGCCTCTTTTCATTACTTCACTGGAAAGCTCACACCAGTATCCATTTTCTGAACACTCTGCAACCAAGGATACAGTACATCACCACTCAGGAGGGATGGCTCAGATCTTAGGTTTCTAACTTAGGAAGTTATAACTCAAACTGAAAATGAGAGACCAAAGTTAAAATGGAAAAAAATTGACAACATCCTACAAGAACATAGATGATACATTGGATTTTTTAAACACATAAACTAATATTTTTTATCTTTCGCAAAACTTTATTGTGTTGCTAAAAGGAGGTCTGTTGTATTTTTGAGAGTAGAGATTTGAAATTGCAGACCCACCTAAAAATAAGTCTTAGCATGGTGTCACAAGAGGAGAAAATGCCATCAACCTGCCACAGATGGCATCCTGGTTTCTGTGGTTCATGGTGAGCATCTTCTGTTCATTGAGATAATCAAAAAACAGTTGGTGACATCAATTGATCTGAAACCTCCAGCACACTGGCACTTTTTCTAATTCTTACCTCAAGGCTTTTGTGTTTGGTTTCAGCTGTAAGTGAAAACTGGTATGGACTTATTCCTTGCGCTGAGTATTTATTAGTGTAATTTATATTAAAGACTTCCCTCTTGAACAGTAGTATAAACAAATATAGTACAATCAATTCTCTGTCAGACAAATCTTTGTTAAAATATTTTCTCTTCAGAAATCTGCTTTTTTTTTAATTTTACTTTTGTTTTTCAAAGGCAGAAGAGGCATCTAGTAAAGACCAAACTGCTTCCTTATGGGAACACATCCAATTCAATCTTCTCATCATCTATGAGATACTTCCCCAGAAATCTTAACATCAGATGTAAGTGGAGGCAGAGTGAACAAAAACACAGCAGTTCAAGTAATTTTTATGGAGTGGTGCCCTCCTCTAAATGACTACATTGATTAGAGGGAAGTAACTCAGTTTTAGAGAGCTTGAATTACATGTCCATGCACACTTAAAGACAGATTTGGTGAGATGACTTGCACAGAAAAGTGTACAATCAATGCAAACATTTTTTATTTTTTTTTCCTCTCAAATAATGATGCATTAATAAAGAATGAAATGTATTTCTTTTATATAAAGAAAATTTTAAATAGTTAAATGTAGAGCTGTTTGAGCTACAGGCAGCATAAAGAAATGTGTACAATAATTAGGGAAGCAGGTAAGAGATTTCAGATCTTGCAGGACTAACATGTCAGAACTCTGAATAAGAACCTACATTCCAACAACATTTCCCATTGCAAGTTTTCCAAGATTTTGATGAGAGCTCAGAACAAAAGCTGCTCTGTTCCTCCTGGGGTTTGTGTCAACCGGTTGTCTTATTATTCCTGATACTTTGCCAATTATATTGTACGCTTGGAGAAAGGGATGAAAAAGCAGCTTTTCTCCTTTAAAGAGATTTAAACTTCAAAATCTTGTTACTGTGACTCTGAGCTGCAGAAGGCTGGCTGAAATGCCAGCTATGGAGTGCAGCAGAGGCACTGCTGGCAACATTTTTACAAGGTTCCACATAATGGCATTTCTGTGTGATGACCTTAAGGTTATAGATGTTTCCATAAATTATAGATTTAAATTTTTTTTATGGGTAGGAATTGTAGTACAATAGATGGGATTAGAAACAAATCCAGCATGACGAGCAATCTTTATTTTCTATATTTCTTCCATTTACTATCATTTTGAATGCTTGGATTTACAAATTTATAATTATTTTAAGCATATTTTTGATGCAAATGTATTTAATTTGGTTGTCTCAACTGCCTTAAACATTAAAGCAACATAAAGAGGCACAATCTTCTATGCTTTAAGGAAATGTGCTTTTATACTTGTATCTTTGGAATAGCTTTGTCTTAGTAGAAATGTATTATTTGTATTTGCATTGTATTGTGTGTGTAGATAACTTTTAAGACAGGTTTTGCAGTGCCACAGAATAATTTGGGTTTTAAACCTGCTTACAACTCTTAATCTGTATTTTAAAATTTTATTTCTAGTATTTTCTTGTAAGATTTTTTGCAGTCATTAACTAACTTTCACTTAAACATGCCTTCTCTTTTAAAAGTCTCAGGGAATAAAACCCCACTGATTTCTTCCATTTTTAAAATCAATGTTTTAAGCCCCTTCTGGTAGCATTACTAGGACAAAATTGCCACTGAACATGCTCAATACAAATTGAGTAATTTTGGATTCGGCTATATTTCCTTAACTAAATCCACCAGAATTTAATTTATTATTAGCGCTGCTAGCCTCAATTGTCTCATAAGATCACAATCTGTAACAAAAAATGTTATTTCAAAAGTTCAGATCCATACATATCATCGTCTGAACCATCACCAACTGGAAAAATTTTGAGTAATTTGGATCTGATGTGAGAAAGTCATTCTCAAATTTTCTGCATGTGGGCATTTAGAATTGTTAATGTTAGCAATACAATACCTAAAATATTTTTCAGTGAGAGAGCTATCAAATACAGCAAAGGAACTTTCAGTCAGTTTATGAGAATTTTAAATATTTTGTTGCTAATACTGTCCAGAATCAGAAATGAAACTGAAAGCTGGGTCATGGGAGAAACAGTCACGTGGAGTCAGATGTCTTTTTCCCAGGACTTAAACTAAAACCAAAGTATGGAGCTGTGAAGAAAAGTCCTTTGCACAAAAAAAAGTCCTGTAGATAGCAGGAGGTTAATCAGTAGCAAGAGGGAGGAGCAGTAACAGAGCTGCAAATACAGCTTTGGTCAAAGATACCTTTAAATCTGCTTGCTATTTTACAATAGAAATTGGTTATTTAACACATAATCTCTCTTGATATTTATATTTAGATCTATATTTATATTATTTATACCTACCTACAGCTTCTTTTTCCAGTAGAAACTGTGTTCTTTTATAGTCCAGATTTTCTATGCAACACAGAGCAAGATCACTCTTAATTAAGAAAGACAGATTCTGACAATTATGCAAAGGATTATTTTACTATCTGGTATACCAAATACCCATAAGGATCAACAAAAGTAAGCAAATCTTAGTGGGGTGCCCCACCAGTAGTCACAAGGCTGGTGGTAAAATCACATATGTGAGACCACAGAAATATTAGAAGAATTTTAAGGATAGCTGAAATTTTTATATGCTTTTCAAATTTTTACACTATTATATAAAATAGTAGAGGAAAGCAAAGAAATTGGTTTATTGCTGCAATAAATTAACCTAAAAGAAAGATTTAGAGGCCATGGGTCTGAATCATGATGTTGGTATTAATGACACAGGAAGGCAGCATTCCTTGTGTAGCACTGCAAGTTTATAAAATTGAAATGTCATGCTCGTGCTATATTTCATAGATGGGAGATAAATGAGACTACATGTCATGAAATATGAGGGACTAACAGAATCTGGTGTGAGCACTTTGTGAAATTATAAAGGTTAAAAAAATGTTATTTCAGTAAAGAATCTCCATCATCAAATATAGGGAAAATGAGGTATTTGCAGAGTTAATTTCATTACACTGACCTTTTTTTCATATACTGCTTAAATTGTGTTGTTGAGAACTGGCAGAGGGCATGCTGCAGAAAAAAATCAAAGGGAAAGGTTTGTCTTTGAGACCTTGCTCCATGGAGAAAGAGTGTTAATGGTATTTAACTCTTATGCAGCATTTTATTTGTAGATATACAAATGCTCTGAAAACCATTATCTCTGTTCTGCAGATGGGGGAATAGAGAGTTATCCACCAGGGCCATGTTGAAGGTTATGAAGTCAGGAGCAGAACTGACTAGATCTCTTTAACTCTGTCTCAGGACAGCATAGCAGATATGGATTTGTGCATTCTTGAGTATCTACACTCACTATCATACCTGACTGTCAAAAACAAGTTCATCTATTTCTTGATTGCACAGCAGTACTCCCTTTCTGCTGTAAATTTTGATAGCATTAATTATAATGGTGCAATTTACTACAGACAGTTTTGCTGAAGCAATAAGCCAGGTCACAGTTCCATCAAGTCCAATAGGAGTCTTTATGGGAATGCTAGTGTGGGGTCAAGTAAGCCTCCTCCTTCTCCTCCATCTCCTCTTTTTGTTATTATTATAGTTACTCCTTGTTTGGGTAGTGTCTGCAATGTTCTGGGCAATTTCCCAACATAAAAGAAGGCAATATTTCCTTCCCTAAGAGGTTACATGATAAAAAAAACAGACAAAAAGATAAAGAGTAGAAAAGGTCAAAATAGAAACCATTAGGGGTTTAGCATCTTGTCACGTTTAGTGAGTTCACTGAATCACTGAATAATCTCCAAGAATCTGTCTGGCCATGATCAACCTAAATGAAAGCTCTTCCCATTTTTACTATTTGACCTGTTTGTGTGTTGATGACTGCTCACCATTCTCATGAAAGTCATCTTTTTTGCCCCAGCTATTGATTTGGAAGGGCACCATGAAAAACCTAATGTTTAAATCGAGTTTAGGCATAGAGCTCCTACTGATAGTGAACCATTCTGCACAAAACTTCAATAATCTGTACATGCTGGCTGATTTTTTAGTGTGTGAATGGGGGCTATTGTATTAAAAATACAAACCAGTGCATGGGGGCAAAGCTGCACACACAAGCAATTGGTAATAATCCAGTTCATAATAACATTACAAAAGAAGAACTCATTTAGAAGCCAAATGTTACAGAGAACAGTAATAGGACAGATTGTCTAAGGCTTTTAAGTCCTCAATTCAAATCAAGTTTAGGTCTGTATCTACCAAATGTTACTATTTGATTGTTTTTCAAAGTCCTATAATAAAGACATTTACCTGTCTTAATTTGTGTGCTTACAGCATTAAAATTATGACTGCAATAAAAATCTTGTTTTAGCAAACTTCATAGATGCCCTTAATTTACTTTTGACAGTGTGGGGACACTTGGAAACTCTTAATAAATCCTTTCTGGGATTTCCACCTGCATAGAGATCTCATCAGATGGGTTACCATCCTTACAAGGACTATGTTTAAGTTTAAAAAAATGTGTTTTAAGTTTAAAAAAATGTGCAAGCATCAGAACAGGGCTGGAAACAGTGATTGCACTTCTGAGCTTGATGGTTTTCACAGTTCAGAACTTGGGCAATTATTTTGATATTATTAATGAACAGAGTTTTATCTATGATGATGTTATTTATCCATATTGCCTACCTAATGTACATGTTAAATCACTTGATAATGGTATAAGTAACTTAATAAGAGCAACCTATTCTTCCCACATTATTCTATTGCTGTATCTTTAGCTGCCATAAAAGATGCTCTTTCTCATCTTGCAACACACATTAGAAGATAGATAAAAACAGAAACAGCACAAAATAAACCTCAGAAAGGAAAAGGATGCTTATCATCACAATAATGCCTAGATAAAATCTAACAAACACAAAAGATGGGAACAGGGCAAAAAAAGATCTTCGTAATTGTTTCATAAGCAGAGTTAGCAAAAGATATCTGAATGAATATACAAATTAAAATCTCCAGCGCCAAGTTAACAAACAGGTAAGAAAAATGCTAAAGAAAAATTAAGAGGAGAGTGACAATATTTTCGTGATAAGTTTTTTCCTTGGATCATATTTCTCATGTGAACTGTTAGTAGATTTGAAATACATTTTGCAAAATTAATATTTTGCTGAAATTTGTTTCATTTTAACTGTTTCTTCTTATACATTAGCATCTATGAAGACTGGAAATTTCTAAACTGAAAAAAAATTGTTCTTTTAAAATATTGTAATTGCCTGCAACAGACTGCCAAGTTTTTGTAGTATCTCATTTGTTACTCAGTTATTGATAAATTCCTTTTTTTTTTGAGTTTATGTCTAATGGT